CAGCATCCACCAGCACCCCACAGAATGGGACAATCCCAGCCAAGGCTATGGCATCTTCCACTGTAGACGCAACCCCGAAACCAGCCTGTGACCTCATTCCTAACCGCAGAGCCACCCTTAGCCTAACCCTAGTGTCAGTCCTAAGAATACAGCCTGAGCCCTACAGCCCTGGCCCTGGGGATACCAAACCCAGAGCAGGCTCAGCACTGGCCCTGAGGCTGTTGTAACCAGAGGGAAAGCTGTGAGCCTGGGCAAGCAGAGCAGGACCAGCCAGGTCTCACTCTCCCATCCTCAGCATGAGGCTTTGGAGAAGTTTTACACCACGTTTAGACTCAGAGTAACATCTCCTTTGTGCTCCTCTTTATTTCCTGGGTTCAGGAAACAAACCTGCTCATGCAACATAAATGATGCTTGTGGGGAAAAGGGGGCTGAGACAGGACTGTACAGGAGGCTGTCAACCCTGGGGCTGGCAGCCAGTGAAATGGCACTCAGGTGCAGGTGGTTTGGGATGCCAAGCTCAGGGAGCGTGGGAGGAGGAGCCCTACTTGTACACAGAGCTGTGCCCCCCCCAGCCCCTCACCCCCAGCACAGCTCCACTCAGGGACAGCCTGCTCGCAGCCTGGGAGCCTGCGGCACTGCCGGCACTGGATGGCACCATAAGGGCAGGGAACACCTTGTATTCCAGATATTGTAAAACAAGTAAGAGAATGAAACTGAAATGCAGACGTGTAAGGCTTGAGGATGAGCAGGAGGGGGATCGGGGGATGCAGCGAGCCAGGGAGCGACACAGCAGGGCTGGTCTCGGGGGGGTGAGCATGGGGCTCACTGCACCATGCATCCACAAAAGGGCTTTTGGCCAAGGCTCTGCACCGGCAGTGGGGATGAGGTCAAGCAGCCAGGGAAGGAAAGAGAGGGAAGGAGGAGCAGGGATTAGGGATGCTCATGCCTGGAACTCACCTGGTGAAGTCCTCGTCCCCGATCATGTGCCGAGGGATGGGCGAGTACCGGGATGGAGTCACCTGGGGAGGGACAGGGTAGGCAGGCTTGCTCTCAACGCTGCCCAGCCCAGGTAGCCTGGAGTTATGGCTTATGTGGTTGTCAGCCAAGGCTGAGAAGGCTGCAGGGAAGGAGAAGGGCATCAGGAGCAGAAACCCATCCACAGTGCAGACGTGGAGACCAGCCCAGCATTGCCTGTCGCCCCAGCATGCTCTGTCCCCCCTAGCCCTGTGGTGCTCGGGCTGCCATGCCGGTGGCGTACGTACTGCTGGCGTAGTCGGGGGGCGCGTACATGTCGTTGAGGTGGATGTTGCCAGGCTTGGCCACTTTCAGGTACACCATGTCAGAGGTGTTCTTCAGGGCGGCCACCGCCTCCTCGTGCCGCACGTCCTGCAGGTTCGTGTTATTCACCTGCCAGAGGGAAGGGGCTGGGTGACACGGTCACAGGCAGGATGGCAGGGGCTGATGCAGCCCTGCGGGAGCAGAGTGGTTTCCTGCAGGGTAGGTGCTGCAGTAGCTCCAGAGACAGGGTCCCATCTCCATGGGTTTGGCCCTCCCGCCTGCAGCCAGTGCTGTGCCTGTCCCTCCCACAGCACCATCCCAGCGGGGACCCTGGGGAAGGGGTGCAGGGCTGCCGGCAGGAGGGGTGCTGGGGTTCAGGATCAGCACCACAGCATGGCAGAGACTGCCTGGCTTTGCCTTGCAGCCAGCTGTGGGCACGGGACTTACCGCGAGCAGCCGGTCCCCAATCTGCAGGCGCCCGTCCTTCTGGGCAGCGCCTCCCTCGATGATCTTGGTGATGTAGATGCTGTTGTCCCCGGGGATGTGCTGGTTCCCGATGCCCCCTGCGATGCTGAACCCCAGGCCTGAAGGGGAGTGAAAGGGCAGATGAGGGGTGAGGGACAGACGGATGGATGGAGCCCTGGGCTGACACCATGGCCCCTCTGCCTCACTGGGCTTCTCACCCTGCCCCAAACCCAGCAGGCAATTGGCCACACCACTGCTGCACGAGCCTAGCCACCGCACACTGCACCATGGGGCTGTCCCACACCCCATGCCCCATAGCATCCCATGCTGCAGGGCCACCGAGGCATCCTGCACCGTGGCGGTGCCACCTTGCATCTCACATTCCCCGTGATGCTGCCTTGCACCCTGTGGGATCCCACACCGAAGGGTCACCCCACACCGTCCCATGGGGCAGCGGGGCACCCCAGTCCTGCGAGCAGAGTGAGGGGTTTACCTTTGGGGCCCTTCATCAGGTTGACCTCCATGATGGTCTCTGGTGGGGGCTGCCGGCGCCCCACCACAAGCCGCACCACGGGACCCGCTTCCTTCAGGGCCTCCACGGCTTTGCTGTGCACCACCTCGGAGACATCCACGTCGTTTACCCGCAGCACGCAGTCGTTCACCCTGCGGGCACAGGGTGGCCCTGAGCTCCTCTGCCCATGCCACTCTCCTCTGGACACCTCTGCCACCCTCCTTCAGCCGCGCAGACCCTTGCGTGAAGGAGAGCTGCTCAAGCTGGCTGGATCCTGCCCTGCTGCGGTGAGAGTGGGGTCCCTCCCGAAGGGGGAGGCAGTAGGGGCTGGTCCCCATGGTGTGACCCTGGTGAAGATGGCAGATGAGGGGAAAGGCTGGATCCTGCCCCGGGCTGCAGGGGGAAGGATGGGAGCTGGAGCCTAGGGCAGGGAGGGGAGGAGGGTTGGCTGCAGACGGAGGCTGCTGGCAGGGGACCACTTACATCCCTGTGCTGAAGGGACCTGGCTGTGGCAAAGGGTCTGGGGAGGGGGTGGGGACCATGGCAGTGGGGCAGGAGCTGCCTAGAGGGTCCCTGGGAAGATCCTGGGTGTCACCCTGATGGGGCTGCTCCCTCAGCCCTGTACACTCACCCCAGACGGCCGTCCATGGCTGCCGCTCCCCCGGGGATGATTTTGGTGATGAAGATACCTGGATCATCTGGAATGTGGGGATTGTCGATTCCTCCTGCTATGCTAAAGCCGAGGCCCGAGTTACCCTGTGGGAAACCAAACACTGCGTCTTTCCCCCGAGGGTAAATGCTTGCTGCCGGCCCTCCCAAAGCAGTTCCCCCCCAGCCATGGCTGCCCAGGGTGCAGAAGCCCTTACAGGATCTGTTTCACCCCAGGGTGTCCGGCTCAGGGGACAGAAGGCTGCGTGGCTGGAGGGGAGGCCGCTGCTCATCAGCCGAGGTGCTCGGTGCAGCAGCACGAAGCACTGAACAGATGGAGTGGGAGAGTGGGAGCCGCCGAGGACCTCCTTCGTCGCCGCGTCTCTGCTGAGAGACTCTGAGGCAGGCAGCGAGCTACGGGAAGAGGGGGTGGTCCTTGGCAGAGAAAACCTCCCCTTGCTGGCTGCTCCCCAGGAGGAGACATGGCTGCTGAAGCCTGCACGGAGCAGCGGGGCTTGTGCCAGTCACCGGCATCCCACCCCTGCCCCCCTGCACCCTGGGATGCAGCCCGGCACAGAGCCAACCCAGGGACCAGCAGTGCTGATGCCAAAATTTGCAGGATTGGGTGGAGGGGGCTGTCCGGATGGAGTGGGGTCTCCAGTTCTGCCTCCTCTTCCTCCCGGACATGCTTGGAGCATCACTTGAGCTTCACTGCACAGGGGGGAATGCAGGGGCTGTGCCGCGTCTCCAGCCCCATCCCAGCAGTATCCCAGGATAAGCAGCGGTGGCCCTGTGCCGCCTCTCCCGCTTACAGGATCCCCATTAGTGACACACTCACAGGCGCCGCTTCCAGCTCTGTGCTTGATGCAAGTGGACAATTCCTGCGTTTTCAGCTCTGCCTTGAAAATCAGATGGCTCCTCGCCTTGTTTTCTCATGCGGAAGAGTTGACACTTAGTCACATCCTATCGTGCCCGCCTCTCTTGTACACAAACGGGCTTGGGCCAAGCACTCTCCCAGATGCCCAAGGCCCCAGCATTCAGCGTTAGGCGATGGGGAGATCTGCCCTTCTTGGGGACCTGTGGCCAGGAGGGCTACACCGGAGCTCAAGCTCCCTGGGATCATCTAGCGCTGGGGCTCGCGTTTCTCCCCAGCAATTTGGGCTCAGTATCAGCTCTTGTGGCCATGCAGAGGTCTCTGCTCTGACTTTATGCCACTCATGACACAGCACATGGCATCTCTGGGAGCCACCAATGCCTCTCACTATGCAATGCTCCCAGATGCTCTCCTGCTGGCTGGGATTTCGCTGGCACATGACAAGAGGCACTCAATGGTGAAAGGTCTGAGGCTGCTCTCCTTCCTGTAAGCTGGATTCTGGTTACCCTGTGCCCAGCTCAAAAAAGCTGCTTACTGCCACTGGAGACGCAGTCTGGCCCCAGGCAGGTGAGACTGTGAAAAATGGTCTCCAGACATTCATTGTGCCTGTCTATGGAAGGGTGTGCTCCGATGCTAGCTACAAAACCTGGAAATGATCTAGGAGGTGTTTATTTTTATTTTGATAAACCTTGAAATAGAGTTCAAGGGATTTCTTAGCTGGCATCGGGGTTGATGTAGACACAGGGGCAGCTCCTGCTGCGGACACATGTATGGTGGGTAAACCCAAAGCCACATCCTCTGTGGACGGCATTTCTTCAGTTATTGCCCCCAAAACACTGCTGCATTTGTCCTTGTCTGTACAACAAGGACAAGGGTTAGTAACAGTGACAGACCAGCAATTCTAGGGTACACTGAGGTCGTCTCTGGGAGCCAAACACCCCAGCAAGGGGACAGCCTCACCCACAGGCACCAGGGTGCTTCTCCTGCAGTAAGATGGGGCTGTTGGATCCCACTGGGGAGCAGTGAAAGGGAAGGACCTGGGTATGGTCCATGCTGGCCTTGGCTGCTAAGCACTGAAATTCCCTCATGGTTTCTGCTGTTGGAGAGGGAATTGCTGCCTGGTGCTTTGAAATGGGGGCAGCAACGAGTGCTGCCTCTCCGTGCAACCCTGCCAGCTCCCCCTCTGCTCCTGCTGTGGGATGAGGACAGAGGATGCTCTGAAGAATCTGAAAACAAGGATTTTGCCTCTCAATTGGGCCCAGAGCGAGAAGCGCTCAGCCCAAAAAGGAAGCATTTCCTGAGCTGGTTTCGTCAGGCATGCCGGGGAAGCAGTGGGTGAGGCGGCAGCCCCAGATAACCTTCCGTCCACCCACCTCCGTGATGCAGAGCCAAGGGGAGGAGGGAGATGACTAAAGGCAAAGAGGAACAGAATAACGAGCAATGCATCTTCCCCTGCGACGCCGGCCACGCAGCAAGGCTGAGCCACCCGGCGTGGCAGCGAGGAGGAGGCAAGGTGTGCCATGGAGCACCGCAGGCAGCCTCCCGCCCCGGCCATCCCCACTTGGCAGGGCTGTGCCCATCTTCGGAGCAAACCTTGGGCCAGCTTTTCGTGCTCCCTCTCCATTTCTCCATCCCTGCTGATTCCTGGGTGCCAGGGGAAAGCCCTCCCTGCCCTGTGCAGTGCTGGCTCGCCTCTGGATAAGCTCTGTCTATGGGGGGAGCTAGTTTTAGCCACAGCTGGTGTGGTGCATGCCATCAGATCTGCGTTGCCAACAGGCAAGAAAAGGCTCGAGCAGAAACTCCCCCTGTTGCAGTCCGGTTTACTAGAAAACCCATCCTTGCCGCTTAGCATCCCCAGGCTGTGTACTCCGGAGCGATGGGGAGTCCTGTGGCGGGGAGGCATCGGTCCCCCGTGCCTGGCTGTGGGGTGCACCTGCCCGCGCGCCTGCCCGAGCAGAGCTCCCTGCACCTCCATTTTCCGGCAAAGGCAGTGACAAAGAGCCTCCCCCACCCCGGCTCCATGCTGGCGGGTTTGTGGGGGTGAGGGTGTGAACGAGGAAGGTGAGGGAGAAGCCCTCCTCCCTCCCTTCTGGAGAGGTCTGCGGGGCGGGGAGCAGCAAGCCCACCTCTCCACACACCGCGGAAAGCAAGTGTGACACCCCTAAAAGCCTCCAGAGAGAGCGGGGAGTGAAGACCGACCTCTCCCCATCAGCTGGCACGGAGATGCAGGGGGTGCCGGCTGCGCCGGTGGGAGGGTGAGTGGAAAGAGGCAGCAAAGGCTGCTGGCAGACAAGTAAAGAGCACTTACTCTTTCCAAGACGATCTCCTCATATTTGAACATCCCATCGCTGCCGTTCACCTGGGGATAGGGAGACAGGGCGTTATGGCTCTGTGCCGCTCCCAGGGGGATTTGCTTTTCCCCTCTGGTAGCTGAACATTGAGAATCCAACCTAAAAGCTGTGCCATCACTGCTGAAAAAAACTTAAATGCAATGGTTTGAGCCTGCCCTGGAATTAAACTGCGCTGCTTTTCTTTCTGGGCATGAGCCAAAGCCCACTGACTTTAATGCACTTCAGTGCAAAGTCTTTATTCTCCTGGCTCATTTCTCCAGCCATGAAAAGGAACACAACTGAAGGCACAAAAAGAAATAACGCCTTTATTATGCAGTATGTAATTAACCTTGGGAATTCACTGCTGCAGGAAGGAAAGAAAGGGGGTCGGTCCGTTTAAAGGGAAAAAAACCTAATGTCTGTACATAATAACATAATAAACACCTTTAGCATCTTATATCTTTTAAATCTTTTAGTAGCATGACTGTGTTAACAGAGAATTCAGAATAATTTATTCTACCAAATTAGTTGGGTGCAACTGATGCCCTTATGTAAAAAAATGGTGTAGCCTGTCTCAATGCTGTACACCATAGTGATCCCCAAGCTTAAAAATCTCCCATACCCAGAGTGTCAAAGCAGGGCTCTGGGAAACATAATGGCTTGAAACAAAAGGGATGCAACCGTAGGCTCTAAAGTAAGAAATGATAAATGTACAGGTCAAAAACTTCCATTTTCCCCATAAGCAAGAATGCACAGGAAAATAAGGCAGCAGTTTCACTCCAGGTCATCAGGATCAGGCCATAAACAGCTGCCGAGGTCTAAAATTTTGCAAGATTTGAAAAGCAATTGACTATTGGAATATACAGAGCCATTACACTCAACGCAACAGTTTTGGAGGGGACTGGACTCAACCTCACAATTTGAGTCAGTCTGGGAAACAAGGGATGGGATGCAGGCAGGTCTGCATGGCATGGCAGAGGCAGCAAGACCCAGGGCTCAGCAGGCAAATGCGTCTCCCATCATGCAGCCCTGCCTCTGCCTCCAGCCCCTGCACAATGTGCAGGGTTCCTCATGTGGATTTTACATCCACCATTAATTGATGGCTTGTAGATCATATGGATCCACTTTCTGTATGCACTTCGTAGCCCAAACCAGAGCTACCATGGCTTTGTTTGGACAGGTCCCCTTATCCAGTGCCACCATGCTGGTTGTGTCCTGCTTGCCCAGCTCCCTGCTATCTGCCCCCACAGAGGCACAGCCCCACCACGCTCCAAAACCCCACAGTGCTGGGTCATTAGATGGAGGGGGCAGCAAACATGCTAAAGCCATCATCTGACACCACAGAAGGAAACTCAGCGAGACAGCTGTGAGGCCCTATTTATAGGTAGGAAGAGGAAACAGGAGTTTTTCTAGGTGGGAATAATCAGGTGCCCAAGTGGAAAAGCAGTTCTGCATGCCAGGATCTGGGATGGGGCTGTGCCACCTGGGACACACGCACCCTAATCCCCTGCCTGGTTCAGCTCTAGTGAGGCCAAAGCAATCCCACACCCTGTTGTGGGTACCGCGCTTCAAGAAGGATGAGGTTGTTGAGTCTGGAGCAGAGAGATGGGATGGGGGCTCCAGAGAACATGGGCTGAGACGGTTGTCCCTCCTCGGATGTGCTCCGTGCCTGGTGCCTTTCAGCCATGGGAGGATTTCAGGGCATGGTTCAGGGTTGGGACATCCAGATGCTCCAATATTAGGATGCTCTGATCCTCCCAGCACATTGGGAAAGTCTTTGGTCAGCTCTTGAACAGGACCCCTCTGCAGAAAAGCACCGGGAGTGGTGGGATTAACCCACAGCAGGATCTCTGACAGCCTCAGAGGGATAGGGATTTGTGGTCGGTGCCACCTCCTGCCACAGCATTGCCCTGGGCTGTGCTCCTGCGGGCAGGGGAGCATCGCTTCCCTCGCCACAGGCTCCCCCTCTACCATGGGCTGCCTTTCCCTCCTCACATCCTACTGTACTGACTAATCCTGAGTGGGGCCAGCTCGCTGGCCTGTGCCACCCTCACAGCCTCCCTCGCCGCAGCCTCTGGGCTCATCTCGTCTCCACAGTTGGTAGCCTGGCGCGTGGGGCGCGGTGTCGCCTCTCCTGGCTTTCCAGCAACTCAGATTCCTGGCACCCTTCACTACTACACACATTGTCCTCTCTGCTTTGGCATTCAACACAGTTGCCACACAGCCAGCCATATGCACACCCACGGCCGCAGAGGAACAGCACATACATACCTACAGGATGGGATGTGCAGAAAACTTCGACAATCTGTGAGCCGTGGAGAGAGCCAGCAGTGCACAAGCCCTGCCAAGCGAGCGGCCGCTGCCACCAAGTGCCTGGGGCGCAGAGACATCCCGGCATGCAACCCCATCAGGTACCCCACTGCCAGGTAGGTGAGTTTGGGGTATCCCTGCTCCCCAAATCTCGGGGCTGCCAATGCTGAGTGGTGTTTTGCATCGCTCCCTGAAAGTGAGCGGTGTTGGCGCTCACTCGGCGTGACACGTGCTGGGAGCAGACTGCTCTGCCTGGGCACGCCAGGGTCAGCCGGGCCTGACCATGAAGTTTTAGCTCTGATTATGTTTCCAAAATCCATGCAACAGAATGCCAGTTATTTGCATAAGGAAGCCAAATGAGGAACTTAATATATACCACGTAACCAAGGGAACGAGCCAACAAAGCAAACATTCCAGCGTCGGAAAATTGAATACCAGTCACACACTGATGGCAAAACCTCCCTGTGGCACCCACTGGAGCTGCCACGACCTGGCTCTGCCGCAGGCTGTTCCCCTTCTCTTTTGCTGGTGCCCTGCGTTCCTCCCCAGCTCCCGTTTGGGGCCATCTCAGTGCTATGGGCATGGTGGGGAGATGCCTGTCTCCACTGCCCCCGGGGAGGGAAAGCATACCCCATCCTGCTCCCATCTCCCCACGTAATGCCTGCAGAGCTGACGGGGATGTCAGGGGCTAATTAGCTGTTCCCAGGGTATCCCAATCCTAAGCACCGTCTGATTTCTCGTGGAAAAGAGTAAGGGTATTTTTTTCCAAACCCTTCCCATGCAGCAAGCCCACCTGAGGGCTCAGGAAGAGGCCCCCTTCACTGGCCTTTGTGTCCCTTCCATGTTTTGAGCAGCAGGGAAATAGTTAGCGATGATGACATTTAAATCATCAACAGAAGGCTGCAGAGTTAACTCTCATTTGATAAACAGAAGAGCACACACCTTCCAGAGCTACTGCAAGCTGTCTGCAGGCTCCACTGGCCAATGCTGCACCAGCGCACACGGAACGCGCTTTGCAATTTGCTAGAAAGTCAGGATTTGTTTTGTTTTGTTTTGGTTTTTTTTTAAATAAAAAAAGAAGGCCAAATTTAGAAGACTAAGATGGGGTTCTTCAAACCCAACCCAAATAGCCCACCAGGCTGCAAGAGGAAATAACCTGCATGAAGGATAATGCTGCCCACAGCCACTTTTGGAGCAGGATCTAGCCCATATCCTATGGTTAGGACGCAATGGGGATAAGCACTGGGACCTGGTGGTGGAGCAGCCGTGTACTGACATAATGAAGAGAGTCTGAAGGCTGGAGGATCAGCCCTCGGCGGTGCCAGCCAGACCTGGGGGTGGAGGGCGCCTGGTGATGCTCCATGCCTGCCCCAGCAAGGGGAAAGGAGAGCAGCCCCGTGCCGGGGCAGTGGGTGCGATGGGCACCTCCCCACTGGCACTGGCACCAGCAGCGCTGGCGAGGGAGAGCTCCCCCTGCCTGCACATGGCAGGGGGCCCAGAGAAAATAGGTCAAGAGCTCCCTCCCTTCACCTCCCCGCATCCACGTGTCCTGCTGCAGCACCGAGACCTACTGACTTGCTTCCAGCTAACCCCTGGCCTCAACCCCCTTGCGTGTGTTACCCACGGTGTTGGCCTTGTGCACAGAGTAAATAAACACCGTATTTCTGGTGGCCTTTTACCAGAGGGCCATGGGGACGAGCTTGCTGAGCTTGGGCAGAGGGAAGGGGTTTGAAGCCTGACAGCCCCAGCACACAGCTGGGAGGGCTCCGCAGTGGGATGAGCTTGGGACCAAAGCGTGAGGGTGGCAGTTTAGTTTTGATTTTTTCTGTTTTTTCAGGCTTACAAGCAAGTTTTGCCCTGATCAAAGGCACTGGACCATGGTGGCCATCTCTGCTGCCCCCCACCCTGCAGCGACCACAGCTGGGGACCCTGGCAGCAGAGTCAGTGCTGCACAAGGAGGTTGCCTCTCTGCTCACCAGTGGCAGAGCCCGGGGCTCCCGTGGTGCTTGCTGGCCGGGATCAGGCCTGGGAAGCACTTGGCTTCCTCAGACCTGGCTTTTAGACATCGAGGGGGTGGTGGCACCTCACTGCTGGGCACTGGGGCACCAAAGGAGGGCTCCAAGGACTCAGGCTATGAAACCTTCAACTCCTCAAGGGCTTTGGAGTGACCTTCCCTGCTCACTTTGGGACTTCCTGGCAGCAGTCACCATGCATCATGGGCAGCAAGAAGTTGTTTCAGCTTCAGAGAGGCAGCTCTGAAATGCAGAGACCCTGTCTGCCATGGGAACTGGGCTTCCGATGCTCTGTCTCCCCACTAGGGACCTGCTGTGCAAAACAGACCAAGGAGTGAAACTGTGAGCAACGACCTGGAGCTGGCACACGTGATCCCCCCCGGCACCTGTCCTTACCCTTCAAGGGATGCTTTTATTACA